CCTAAACCCTAAACCCATACCCCAACCCCCCCCCCCTCCCCCTAGCTCCCCCAGCCTCAAACACAGGAAGCACATCTCCTTCCAGTTCTGGCTGTACTGTTCGACGCTGACTCTGACCGTGGCCAGCATGATACAAGCGAGCCTGGGCTTCGAGGGGCCTCAATGCTGATACCCCCTATACACTACCCTAGAACTACTACTACTACTACTACTACTACTACTACCACTACCACTACCACTACCACTACCACTACCACTGCTACTACCACTGCTACTACTACTACTACTACTACTACTACTACTACTACTACTACTACTATTACAACTACTATTACTCCTGCTACTACTACTACTACTGCTACTACTACTACTACTACTACTACTCCTACTATTTCTACTATTTCTACTATTACTACTACTACTACGACGACTACTACTACTACTACTATTACTACTACTACTACTACTTCTTCTACTACTACTACTACTACTACTACTACTACTACTACTACGACGACTGCTACTGCTACTGCTACTGCTACTGCTACTGCTACTGCTACTATTACTGCTACTACTGCTACTACTACTACTACTACTGCTACTACTACTACTCTTACTACTTATTGCTACTACTACGACTACCTGCTACTGCTACTGTTACTACTACTACTACTACTACTACTACTACTACTACTACTACTACTACTACTACTACTACTACTACTACTATTACTACTACTCAGGAGAGATACTGTATTTGACGGTCTGGTTTTTCTTTCTTCACGTGCTCAAACGCATGGGTTCTTGCTTAAGTGGGAAATGTCTCGGGGGGGCGGCTGATGTTAGCCAATTTTACCAGCACCTTCATTGGTCCAAGCATCCATGCCCGGACGGTGACAACGTCCATGTTACCAGCACATTCATTGCTCCGAGTTCATCAGATGACTGGACTTGCGTAGAGTTTGAAAGAGTGAAAGAGACTCAGACGCAATGCTTGAAGGGTTTTCTTTGACAACTGAAACCTAAACCACCGGACGCCCCATGACAAAGGAGCTTGAAATCCAGCGCCACTTCGCATCGGTACTGCCGTACCCTTTTTAGATGTGGGAATCAGGGATGGTCTAGACGCACTCCCGCAGCGGAGGCTGAGCGGGCGCTGTGAACTTTGCTTGTGCATCCCAGAGCATGTTCCTCTTGCTGAAATGACACGCATGCCAGCATGTTCGACAAAATCCAAAAAGCAGGTGCATGTCGCTGAAGTCACACGCCCCCCCCAGCATTTTGAAGCATAGTTGTGCACGAAAGCACACCATCAACTAAAGCGTGTGCACCTACTACTAGTACTACTACTACTACTACTACTACTATTACTACTACTACTACTACTACTACTACTACTACTACTACTACCACTACTACTACTACTACTACTACTACTACTACTACTACTACTACTACTACTACTACTACACTACTACTACTACTACTACTACTACTACTACTACTACTACTACTACTACTACTACTACTACTACTACTACTACTACTACTACTACTACTACTACTACCTACTACTACTACTACTACTACTACTACTACTACTACTACTACTACTACTACTACTACTGCTACTGCTACTGCTACTGCTACTGCTACTGCTACTGGTAGCTACTGCTACTGCTATTTCATTCCAATCGCAGCCGGTCACTCAGCTTGGCGTCAGGTACATGGCAGTGCATTGCACCGGTGCTTCGTGAGCACTAGAACCATAATGGGCAAGTCCCGCTACGAATAGCTGCAAACTTGCGTCCTACTCAACCTGTCAAGAGAAGGGTGCACAGTGGCACAGAGTGCACAGTGGCACAGACAAAAGCTGCTTCAGCATGTAATGCCGGTGGCAGTGGACAAACAGTATCGGGCACAGTGTCACGGCCAGTAGTGAAATCCTCGTCACTTGGTATGTACAAGACATGGAGGTGCTTTACACAGGACGGCGTGTTTTTTCATGTACAAGTGGCCCAGCCAGGCACACTGACGGTCTAGAGTGGCCAACGATGGCTCACTAGCCTCTCACTCACTGTCAAGGTCAAGGTCGGTTGCAGGTGGTGTAGGTGGTGCAGGTAATGCAGGTGGAGTGGGTAGTGCAAACTCCAGTCTCCGAAGCGTATCGACATGTGCAGGGTTCAGCTCATCCACTGCCCTGACCGTGAAGATTGCAATCGTGATGCGATCTCCTGTCCAGGGGCGAGTTTCGTGCCATTGTTGAGGGTCAAAAGTGACTCCTGGCAGTGTGAGATTCAGCACGGTGCCCCGCATGGTACCATCCATACACGCATGGCTGCCTTCCGGGTCGTGTACCCATACCCCTCCTCCTGTGAAGGCCGAGCAGGGTAGCGCTGCATTGACACTTTGTGCGGCGTTGTTCATGTCTCTATGTGCATGCATGAACGTATTACGCTGAAGCACGAAGCTAGTGAAGGGCACCCGGGTGCAGGAGCGGATGTACTTACACACCATTAGGGTAACCCGTGGGAACTTCGAGGTGTTGCGCCGGAGCCCATGCAGCGGGCCCTGTGAGTAGGCTCCACTCATAAAGCACATACCACCACTACCAGTGGTGGTAGTGGTGGTAGTGGTGGTAGTGGTGGTAGTGGTGGTAGTGGTGGTAGTGGTGGTAGTGGTGGTAGTGGTGGTAGTGGTGGTAGTGGTGGTAGTGGTGGTAGTGGTGGTAGTGGTGGTAGTGGTGGTAGTGGTGGTAGTGGTGGTAGTGGTGCCACCGCTGCCACCACTACCACTACCACCACTACCACCGCTACCACCACTACCACCACTACCACCACTACCACCACTACCACCACTACCGCCACTACCGCCACTACCGCCACTACTACCACTACCACCACTACCACCACTACCACCACTACCACCACTACCACCGCTACCACCACTACCACCACTACCACCACTACCACCACTACCACTACTACCACTACTACCACCACTACCACCACTACCACCACTACCACCACTACCACCACTACCACCACTACCACCACTACCACCACTACCGCTACTACCACTACTACCACTACTACCCCTACTACCACTACTACCACTACTACCACTACTACCACTACTACCACTACTACCACCACTAACGAGCTCAAGGTTGTGGGCATCGTAGACAGCTGGGGAATGCTTAGTGAGGTTGAGGGTTTAGCGCTTTGCGCGGAGATTCCAAGATCTGGAAGATGTCCAGGATCCCCCAGACGATGTAGAGAAGCTCCTTCAATTCAGGGATTTGGAGTCTGGGTACACTAGCTCGAGGAGTTCGCGCGGCCCGAAGCCTACAGCCTAAAGCCTCCGGCCATGAGTGGGCGGCACTAGGACACAAACCCTAGTCTCTACAAGGTTCAGGGTTTTAGGGCTATGAAATCCTAAACCCCCTAAACTTCGAGCCTAGCGCTCAAAGATGCGCATCTTAAACGCGTGGATGCGTACTACCAGAGTGATCGGAATCAAGGCATCCTATTACAAGTGGTGCGGGAGAAAGCACAGTGTGCGCACACACACACAGACGCCCCTAAACCAAAGACCCTTAGCCCCCAACCCCCTATATGACCCTTACCCTCCAAACACCTAAACCCCTAATTAAAGAACCGCCCCTGGGAGCTCCAGGATAGTGCTTTTCGACTTCAAAGCTTCTGCATTCATCAGGAGGTGCTCCCTGACTTCTAAACCCTATCCCCTAAAGCCGCAAAAAGCAGCGGGTTGAGGGGGTTTAGGGTTTCTGCACCCCGGGTCCTGGGGTTTGGGGCTTATGGTTTAGGATTTATAGGGGTTGATGATTCAGGGTTCCGGAGTTTTCAGGAAGTGAGGCATCTCCTGACAACAACCTAAACCGCAAACCGAAAGGCCCTAAACCCTAAACCCTAAACCCGAAGCCCTAAACCCTAAACCCTAAGCCCAGAAGCCCTCTGGACATCGAGACCTTGGCCCTCAAGTAGAAGAGAGGGCTTAGGGTTTAGGGTTTAGGGTTCAGGGTTTAGGGCCTGGGTTGAGGGTTGTAGGGTTATGGGGTTGTAGGGTTATGGGGTTCAGGGGTTTGGGGGTTGCAGGGTTGGAGGATTAGGGTTTCGGGTTTAGGGATTATAGGGTTTAGGGGAAAAGAAAAGGAAAGAGGCCGTCAACCAGCAAAAGGGTTTAGGGTTTAGGCTTCAGGGTTTAGGGTTCCAAAAAGATCCAAAGTCGGAGGTCTGGCCATAACCCTGAACCCTGAACCCTGAACCCTGAACCCTGAACCCTAAACCCTAAACCCTAAACCCTAAACCCTAAACCCTAAACCCTAAGAGGCCCTCTGCGACGCCCCCGTTTTCCTGCAGCCCCTCTTTCCCATGATTACAATGCGGGGCCACCAAGTTGGGGAGCCCTCAAATCTCAAATCCTAGATTCCATCCAAATTTAAACACACCCCCCGAACCCTAAACCCTAAACCCTAGTCCCTAGACCCTAAACCTTAAACCCTAAACCCTAGACCCTCTGAACCCTAAACCCCAAGACGCCATAGCCTTCTTGGAAGGGAGTACAACGCCAACTACAGGTGGTTCCGAGGCGCAAGCCTGCGACGGGTTGTCGTGGGGAGTGGACGCTCTCTCAATTAGGATCCTTTTTTGGTTTAACCTAAACCCTAAACCCTAAACCCTCAACCCTAAAACCCTAAAAGTTTTAGGGTTGGTCTCGTAGAAGCAAAGGAGTTCATATAGCTTCAGGTTGCTTAAACGGGGCCTGCCTTAGAGCCGCCCTCCTGTGGACGATTCTTGAGGCTCCAGGCTTAGGACGCCTTGCCTCGAGACTAGATTTCTAGGGGGTAAGGAGCCAGTCCTGTAGCTTATGGTCCCTTTTAGGGTTTTTTTAACGTTAAAAAACGCCCTAAATACGTTGTTAACGTTCAAAAAGCCCTTTCTGAGTCCGACTGGTTCAGGCTACCCATCATCAAAGTCATGGTCCCTGTTTGGTTCCCTGAACTTCAAGCAACAGAAGGTCCTGGATTAGGAGCCTTACGCCCTCAACCCGAATAACCTACGTACCCTAAACCCCTAAACCCTAAATCCCTAAACCCTAAAACCCTAAACCCTGAGAACCCTAAAAACCCTGAGAACCCGAAATACCCTAAATCCCTAAACCCCACTAAATCCCTGAGAACCCTAAATCCCTAAATCCCTAAATCCCTAAATCCCTAAATCCCTAAATCCCGAAATCCCTAAATCCCTAAATCCCAAAAACCCCCAAATCCCTAAATCCCTAAACCCGGAGAACCCTAAACCCGAAGCCCTGGTAACAGGCTGCCACTGGAGCAGTCGCTTCTGCGAGCTCATGCTGCGGGCACCCCTGCTGGTGTGCTTTGCAGCCGGCCTGCCATTAGAGCCCGTAGAGCCCCCAAACTCCCGGAACTCCCGAAGCTGCGGGCTTCCGGGTCCCTTTTAGGGCCTAGGGTTTAGGGTTTAGGGTTTAGGGTTTAGGGTTTAGGGTACTTCGATCCTGACGCCTGAGCACTTGGGGTTCAGAGGAGGGGTCGGAAAGAAGCGAGCCCATGTATGCTTCCCAACCTGAGGCCCTGAACCCTGACGCAGTAAATCCCTGCGAACCCTAAACCCTAAACCCTAAACCCTAAACCCTAAACCCTAAACCCTAAACCCTAAACCCTAAACCCTAAACCCTAAACCCTAAACCCCTAAACCCCTAAACCCTAAACCCGGAACCCGCGAAGCCCCTGAGCCCTAAACCCCCATGCCCGAAGCTAAGCGCCCACATCCGCAGACCCAAAAAAACCCTAAGCCCTGAACCCTTATGCCCTAAGCCCATAAGTCCCTTGAACCCCTAAACCCTGGTGGGGGTAGGGTCTAGGGTTTAGGGTTTAGGGTTTAGGGTTTAGGGTTTAGGGTTTAGGGTTTAGGGTTTAGGGTTTAGGGTTTAGGGTTTAGGGTTTAGGGCTTAATCCCCCCACAGAAAAACTGAAGGCGCGGAGCGTGCAGCGAGAACTCGGCCTGGTGGCGGCAGCGGCGGCGCTGTGCTCCGCCGGAGGGTTTAGTTATTTCTTTCTTTATTCATTTTTTGTTTATTTCTTTCTTTATCCATCTTTTTTTATTATTAGCAGTAGTCTTTTTTTGGTGGGGGGTGGGGGTTAGGTCTTTTTTCGGGTTTTGGGTTTTGGGTTTCGGCTTTACCTTGGGGGTTGTAGGTGTTTTTTCGAGTTTGGGTTTAGGGTTTCGGTTGTTTCTTGGGGGGTTTTAGGCACTTGTTTGGGTTTGGGGTGTCGGCTTGTTCTTGGGTTCGTGTTTTTAGGGTTTTGGGGTTGAAATTCGGGCTGACGGGCAGTGGGGTTGCTGGTGCCACCGCGTTTTCTTGTTGAAGTCGTTCCTTTCTAGACCCCACGAAGCAACCCTAAACCCTAAACCCTAAACCCTAAATCCCAAATCCTAAACCCTAAACCCTAAGCCCTAAACCCTAAACCCTAAACCCTAAAGCCCCCACGAATTTCATTTTTCCTTAAGAACTTGGGTTTGGGTTTATGTTGGGATGTTCCCCCTTATCGTAACAGTCCCTAATAGGGATTGTTGTAATAGGGGGTGCTATCGTCCCTTTTAAGGACTGTGAGTCTGTGAGTATAAGTGGGAACATCCCAAGTTTAGGGTTTAGGGCTTCGGGCTGTTTGGGTGGCGGGCTTTTGTCAGTTCTTCATCCAAAGACCCGCTGCCCCAAACCCTGCTTGTCCTAAGCCCTCAAAACCCTCAAAAACCCTCAAAGCCCTCAAAACCTAGGGCCTAGGGTTTAGGATACCCTCACAACCCTCAGAACTCTCAACACCCTCAAAACCCTTACAAGACCCAAATCCTCCAGAACCCTAAACCGTAAACCGTAAACCCTAAACCCTAAACCCTGAACCCTGAACCCTTTCCCTAAACCCTGAACCCTAAACCCTAAACCCTAAACCCTAAACCCTGAACCCTAAACCCTATATCCAACATCAAGGCTTCTGGACTACACCATCAGCGCGATTGCGTTGTCGGTGATCTCCGGAGCCTCCATAAAGGCCACCTCTATCCCTAAACCCTAATAATACGGGCCTTACGTTCACTTCATGCATTCTTTATAAGTGAACTGGCCCGTAATATTATAATTGTAGGGGCTTTTAATGAGTCCTTTAATGCGGTAACTTGTCAATGGTGGTTTTACTGCGTTCATTCGTGCCCCTAATTTAATATTATTATTGTAATCGCGCACACGTTTGCATTAAAATAATACTATTAAAGGGGCACTATGAATGAGGCAGTAAACGCGCGCATGACAAGTGAATACGAAGAGAGTAATATTAACCCGGCTTTATAGGATGAAAGCCGGGGTGAATATTATGAACGAAGTTAGGGGCGCACAGTACAAAAAGCCGTATTTCGTGCGCCATGCAAATAACATTAAACCCTAAACCCTAAACCCTAGACCCTAGACCCTAAACCCTAAACCCTGTAGTAGCCTAAACACCCCTGAAACGCTAGGGTTTAGGATTTTGGGCTTAGGGTTCTTAGGTTCAGGGTTCTTAATGTTGGGGTTTGGCGTTTCGGGTTTCGGGCTTAGGGCTTGTTGAGAACTTTTGGGGCCTTCTGTCGCGCAGGCCTTTGTGTTGAGTCTGCCCCTCTACCTTGTGGACATCTGCCGGTATGTGGATGAGCCAGGCCAGGGTCAAGCCTGCCCAAGGCACAAGAGCGCGCAAAAACCTCTAGAAGCCCTGAACCCTGAACCCCAAACCCCAAACCCGAAACCCCAAACCCGAAACCCGAAACCCGAAACCCTAAACCCTAAACCCTAAACCCTCAACCCAAACCCCAAACTTCAAACCCTAAACCCTAAACCCCAAACCCTAAACCCTAAACCCCAAACCCTAAACCCTAAACTCCCTGCGATTCCAGGCCTGGTCGTCCCTGCGCGCCGGCTCTCGAACTTCATTGGCGCCCAGCGCAGCCCGTCACCCCGTTTAGGCGGTTTAGGGTTTAGGGTTTAGGGTTAGACTGAGATGGGAGGTGACGGGCTGGGCGGTTCCGATCTCGACACTTAACCCCAAACCCCACACCCTAAACTCCCAACCCCTACATGTCACAGCGTATCGCGGAGCGGTCTTTATGGTGAGGGAGTGACCTACTGTAAAAGAGCATTCAAAACCGTGTCCAGAACCTTCCCTACTTGGAGGTTCATGGTACTTATTAACGAATTGCAACTGTATTTATCACCCACTTATGAGCCCCTTAAGTGCCCTAATATGCTTCTGGGGCCCCCACCGTCCTAAACCCTAAACCCTAAACCCTAAACCCTAAACCCTAAACCCTAAATCCTAAACCCCAAACCCTAAACTCTAAACCCAAAGCCCTCAAGGTGCCCTGATGCTGGTCGTGACGGCCGGGCTGATGTTCTGGTGCCGCAAGAGCTGGGAGGTGCCTGGGAAGCTGAACCCTGGTTCGGGGTCTTGAGGGTTTAGGGTTTAGGGTTTGGGGTTTAGGGTCTGAGGGCTTTGGGGTTTTTGGGTTTAGGGTTTAGGGGTTTTAGGGTTTAGGGTTTAGGTTTTAGGGGGGCTTCAAAGTTTTGGGGCTTTGGGTTTAGGGTTTAGGGTTTCGGGTTTAGGGTACAAGGTACAAAGCCTTCCGCAAGAAGTGCATGAGCAGCCAAAGAAGGTTTTTGTAGGCCCGAAAGCCCCCCAAAAAAGCCCCAATAGGCAGAAAAGCCGAGAAGAGGCAAGACCTGCTGTCCCCTCCCAAACCCTATAAGCCCCAAACCCCCCTCCAAGCCCTTGAACCCTTCAACTCCCAAACCCCTAAACCCTTAAGGCCTTCAACCCTTCAACCCTTAAACCTTTCAACCCATAAGCCCCTAAGCCCTAAGCCCGAAGCCCTAAGCCCTAAACCCTAAACCCTAAACCCTGAACCCTGAACCTTAAACCTTAAGCCGCCAAGCCCTTAGACCCTTAACACCTTTGAAGTCCGGGGACCAGGCGGACGACCGGGCGCTCGTGACGTGCATCGCAGCCACCCTGGGTGTCTCGACCTTCCTCACGGTCAAGGGGTCATCTTTCGGGTTCAGGGTTTGGGGTTTAGGGTTCGGGGTTTGGGGTTTCGGGTTTAGGGTTTAGGGTTTGGGGTTTAGGGTTTGGGGTTTAGGGTTTAGGGTTTGGGGTTGCGCTGTTGCGCTGTTTTCTAGGTTCGCCCACGCTACGTTGTTCTGTTTCTCTTGCAAGGCAAGCTGAGTTTTGAATCGAAGGTCGCTTCGAGCCAAGGATGTTGTCTATCTCGGCGTAATGTGTGCCCCAGAAGCTTTAGTATCCGTTCTTCGAGAACTTCCGTGGGGCGTGCTTTTTCTTTGTTCGCCTGCGCTTGGGGCATTTTTCATGACTTCATTGCCTCTTTATAAGCTTGCTGTAACATCGGAAAATAATTGTGTACGTAATAGGGTAATAATCACGTAGCATGGCAATATAGTAGTATCAGAGTAGAAAAACATAGTAGTATAGTAATAGAATAGTATTGTTGTGTAATCGTATGATTGCTCCATAGCCCACCTCGACTGCCCACACACCCGATCTCGCCCCCGTTGTGCGCAGACCTTGCGTCTTTGATGTCTAGGGTTTAGGGTTTAGGGTTCAGGGCTTTCGGGAAGAAAGGGGGGAAAAGGTGGCATCATTGGTCGCCCACGACAGTTCCGGACTTGCCACGAACCTTTGAAAGGCTTGGAACAGAATTTCATCCCTAAACCCTAAACCCTAAACCCTAAGCCCTAAGCCCTAAGCCCTAAGCCCTAAGCCCTAAGCCCTAAACCCTAACGTCATGGTACCACGGGTGCCCATCAATGAACACGAACGAGATATTCGTGAAACGACTGCGCCTGGGTATGGAATAGGTCAATGTGAAGCAGATCGGCGTGAGGTCTCTCTGTGTGAACGCCCCTCTATGTGAAGCATGATGCAACTGCGACGCCAAGCTCCGTAGGAAGTAGGCAGGAAGTAGGTTAGCACCACCGGCTCGTTGCCCTTAAGTAACAAACAAGTACATTAGTGAAATTCTGCGGGTGAGATGAGCCCTAAACCCTAAACCCCAAACCCTAAACTCTAAACCCTAAGTCCCAAACCCCTGCTCCCCCATACAATTGCCGCATGGTACGGGAACCCTTTAACGGGGGCGAGTTCGGATCCCTTGCAAACCCTAAGCCTTAAAGCCCAGGAATGCTTTTTGGACCTTCAGGGGTTTAGGGTTTAGGGTTTAGGGTTTACCAAAGCGTCCCACACCCTGAGCACTCAGGGTTATACAAAACCTTTGAAACCCAAACCCCAAACCGTTAAACTCCAAACCCTAAGCTTTTTCAGCAATAAACCCCAGCCACCCACCCCCACAACCCTCTGAGACCCCAACCCCTAAACCCTAAGCCCGAGACCCAAACCCTAGGCCCCAAGCCCTAAGCCCTAAGTCCTAAGCCCTAGACCCCAAACCCTAAACCCTCAAACCCTCAAACCTAAACCCTAGACCCTAAACCCTAAAACCTAAACCCTAGACCCTAAACCCTAAACCCTAAACCCTAAACCCTAAACCCCAAACCCCAAACCCCAAACCCTAAACCCCTAAGACCCAAACCCTAAGCCCTAAACCCTAAAACCCTAAGTCTCAGGCTTGCGGCTGCTCCTGCACCGCACGGCTGCGACCTTTCAGCCCTTGGACCTGCACGAGGCCGCCAAGCGAGGCTCGACTTGGGTGGGTTTAGGGTTTAGGGTTCAGGGTTTAGGGTTTAGGGTTTTTAGGGTTTAGGGTTTAGGTGTTTAGGGTTCAGGGTTTAGGTGTTTGGGGTTAGGGGCTTCTTTTCTTTAATGAGAAAGGGGTGGTGGGGTCGGGTGTTCAGATTGTATGGACATTCTCAAGCAGGCCGTGTGTGTGTGTGTGTGTGTGTGATTCCGGAGCTCCGGTTAATCCGTAGGCCATGGAGCTTTCGCGTTCCGGAGTTGGGGGGGGGAAACCATATACCCTAAACCCCTAAACCCTAAACCCCTAAACCCTAGACCCTAGACCCTAAACCCTAAACCCTAAACCCTAAACCCTAACCCTAAACCCTAACCCTAAACCCTAAATCTACACCGCAAAAGAACAAGCGCCCTGGAAGAAAGGCGACGTCCAGGCCCTGGCTCAGCTCCTCACCGAAGGCCAGAGGGTGGGAGGATTCGCCCGCGCCGGGCTTGGAATGGTCTAGGGTTGAGGGTTTAGGGCTGAGGGTTTAGGGTTTGGGGTTGAGGGTTTGGGGTTGAGGGTTGAGGGTTGAGGCTTGAGGCTTGAGGGTTGAGGGTTGAGGTTCTGGTTGGGGGGTTCTAGGGGGTGCAGGGGCTTCTTCGAGTTTCGGGTTTAGGGCTTTGAAGGTTTGGGTTGAGGGTGCTAGGGCTGCTCTCTAGGATTGATTCTGCTGGGCCTAAAGGTTTAGGGGTCCGGGTTGTTAGTTGTGTTCAGGGGGCCTGAGAGGTTCTTGGGACGTTGAAAGTAATGCACGGGTGTTTAGAGGGTTTACGCACGCTGCTGTGGCACTGGAGGTTTTTGGATCATCTTCGGCCCCATGAAAGCCAGCCTGTAGTTGGGAACCTGCCGGGACCAGTTGAAAGCTGCAATTGCAATAGGGTTAGGGTCTAGGGTTTAGGGTTTAGGGTTTTAGGGTTTTAGGGTCTAGGGTTTAGGGTTTAGGGTTTAGGGTTTAGGGTTTAGGGTTGAGGGGTCTGAAAGAACCCAATCCTAAGCCCTTAAAAGCCCCAAAGTCGCACCGTGAGGCTACGACACGTCGCGCCGGCAGTGTACCCGGCTGCGGGAGACCTCGGGGAAAACATCATCACCCAATACCCTAAACCCAATACCCTAACCCCGAAACCCGAACCCTAAACTTGAAACCCGAAACCCTAAACCCTAAACCTGGGCTTTAGGGTTTAGGGTTGAGGCTTCAATTAGGCATGAGACTCGAAAACTGAAACCCCCAAGCCCGATTCAAAAGATCCTGAACCCAAGGACCCCCCACCTCAAGAGCGCAGATCCACCCAAGGGGGCTCATGGAAATATACGGAATGGCAAAGTATAGGTCTTCGGCCCTCAGCGCGAACCCTCAATAGCCTCCCTGTACTGTGAACGCTAAACCCTGCGCCTCAAAACCTGAAAAAAACCATAAACCCTAAACCCTAAACTCTAAACCCCAAAGCCTGAAGAAATATGGTACCCTCCGGACTTACTTAGGGCCATCCAGTGATCTCCAGCATGCTCGAAATGGTTGCGACCACATGGGCGTAGGGTTTAGGGTTACTACAAATCACAAGTCCCCTCAGGTGGAGGGGAGTTCCCTGGTGAATCTTACTTGGGGGCGGGCAGGGCAAGAGAATGTTTTGTGCGAGAAGTACCCATGAGGTGTAGGAGCTTGACAGGACCCTTGTAAACTTGCAAGCTCCTAGTAGGGAATTCGGTTGTACTTTGTGTCCCCTGAAAACTTCTAGGGGTCATATAGGGAACCAACCCACCACTCCCTCTTCAGAAGCCCTCAACCCTAATCCACAACCTAAACCCTAAACCCTAGACCCTAAACCCTAAAAATCCCTAATCCCTAAACCCTAAACCCCAAAAATCTAATCCACAAATTCATCGTCCAGCGCCCCCTTGGAAGGAGACGCCCCTCCACGTCGCCCTGGCGCATGGCAAGCTGGCCTGCGTTCCCCGGTGGAGGGTTGAGGATTTGGGGCTTAGGGGTTGTTGTCTAAACCCTAAACCCTAAACCATAAACCCTATACCCTATACCCTAAACCCTAAACCCTAAACCCGAAACCCTAAACCCTACACCCAAACCCTGCGAAGAGGCCGACCTGACAAAAAATGAACCCTGAATTTTTGAACCTAGCAGCCCATGTGGAGACCCGAGCCTAGGTCGGGTCTTTGGTTAGGGTTTCTAGGGAGCTTAGGGTTTAGGGTTTAGGGTTTCGGGTTTAGGGTCGAGAGTTATTCCTAAACCCTCAAGCCTAAACCCCACGCCTTGTGGGCTTGGGGCCATTTTTTGCGGGGGGGGGGGTTCAGGTGTTGAAAATTCTATCCTGAACCTAAGCTCTGTGCGCCCTGAACCCTAAAGCCTAAACCCTAAACCCTAAAGCCTAAACCCTAAAGCCCAAACCCTAAAGCCTAAACCCTAAAGCCTAAACCCTAAGCCCAAAGCCCAGGCACAGCTGCTTGTGGAGGATGGGGCGGATCCGCACATTCCAGATGCCCGGCTCTGGTGTGGGGATGTGAGAGTTCAGGAGGTTTGGCGGGGGGTTTGAGGCATTCAGGGGTTGAGGGTGAAGGGTTGAAGGGTTGAAGGGGTTGCAGGTTTGAGGGTTCAAGGCCTCAGGGTTCAAAGCACAAAAGGAATCCACTGAGCTTGCTGGTTTAGGGTTTAGGGTTGAGGAGACCATCCCCCGTAAGAACCCTCTAGCAACAAACCCAATGAACCCTGGGCCCTCAACTCCCCAAGCCCTAGACCCTAAACCTTCAAGCCCAAAACCCAACCCTTTGCTAAACCCTAAACCTTAAACCCTAAATGTTGAGGGTTTAGGGGTGTTCAGGGTTTGGGAGTGGTTTAGGGTTTTATTTCGCTGAGATGTTTCCAAGGGAGGCTCCAAACCAACTCGAAACCTGTAGCCCCCAAACCCGAGACCCTAAACCCACCTGCAAGCCCGCGAAGGCCCAAACTCTTCAGGGTTTAGGGTTTAGGGTTTAGGGTTTAGGGCTTAGGTGTTAGGGTGCGGGGTTTAGGGTGACCCGAAGTTTTGGTGGTTTCGACTCCCCGCCCCTGGAGCAAAGCGCCCTTGGAAGCCAAGGATGCGAAAGGGGACAACCCGCTGCATTACGCCTGCCGCCTTGGTCCGGGGCTTTTTTTGGGGAGGGGGGTGGGGGTTTGTTGGTTTGGGTTTGGGATGTTCCCCCTTATACTAACAGTCCTCATCACTGATTATAACAGGCGGGTTACTATGATCCCTGGTAAGGTCCGTTAGTATAAGGGGGAACATCCCAAGTTTAGTGTTTTTATTCAAGTGGGGTTTTGGTTGTTTGGACGGGGAGGGGGGAGTGCAGTTTTGGGTGATAAGGGAGACTGGGTGGGGGAGAACTGAAGGGCCCTGAAGAATCGGTTTCAGTTGGGATGTTCCCCCTTATGCTAGCAGTCCTCGATTATAGTGATTCAAGTGCCCCTATTATAATCCCTGTTAAGGGGGAACATCCCAAGGCATCACGAAAAACACAAAGCAAAGATCCGGCACGTCATGGTTTATGAGACATCGCTTCAAGAGGGACTTGTCCAACTGTATTTAAAGCAGGTTCTCGTGTTATTACGGCATCAGCCAAACCCCAACCTTAACCCCTCAACCCTCAGCCCTAAACCCCATGCCCCGCATGTCAAGGGCAAGCAAGGGTGGATGGATGACCGGACGTTTTCTCGCAGCCTAAAATCGGACTCTGACCTGGGCGAGCGCGCCTGCGCGCCCGTGCTTGCTGCCCTCGAAACCGTCAGCGCTTTTTGAAGGTGCACCAAGTGCGAAGCTGTTGCACCTTTGAACGTCTGTGTTCGTGAAATGCAAAACTGCCGTTGCTGTTGGACGTTTGTGTTCGCGAAATGTCAAACTGTCCTCGCTGTGAAAAAATTTGGACCGTCGGGGCTCTGGGTGTCTCTTGGATGTGTTCTTGATGCACTGGAGTGCTCTTGCGTGTCCTCATGGTCTCTCACTGTTTGGGAAACCCTAAACCCTCAACCCTCAACCCTAAACCCTAAACCCTAAACCATAGCACGTCACCATTATATGGGTTTAGGGTATGAAGGCATCTCCACAGGCAGTGCGGAGTCTTGACACATTCTTCTTGTATGCGCTGCTTGCGTAAAGACCTTCGAACCTCAGCCGTAAGCCCCCCAAAAACCTACGAACCCTAATAGCCCTCCCAAACCCTAAACCCTAAACCCTAAACCCTAAACCCTAAAC